GTGGCCAGCAGGTCAAGAGAGGTGATTCTCCATCTCTACTCTGCTCTCATGAGACTCCACCTGCAGTGCTGCATCCAGCTCTGGGGCTCTCAGTGTAAGAAAGACATGGAGCTGCTTGAGCGGGTCCAGAGGAGGCCACAAAGATGATCAGGGGGCTGGAGCACCTCCCCTGTGAGGTCAGGCTGAGAGAGTGGGGGTTGTTCAGCCTGGAGAAGAGAAGGCTCCAGGGAGCCCTTACAGTGTCCTTCCAGTACGTGAAGGGGGCCTACAGGAAAGGTGGGGAGGGACTCTTGATCAGGGAGTGTAGTGATAGGACAAGGGGTAACGGTTTCAAACTGAAAAGAGGGGAGATTTACATTAGGTATCAGGAAGAAGTTCTTTACTGTGAGGGTGCTGAGACACTGGAACAGGTTGCCCAGAGAAGCTGTGGCTGCCCCCTCCCTGGCAGTGTTCGAGGCCAGGCTGGATGGGGCTTTGAGCAACCTGGTCTAGCGGAAGGTGTCCCTGCTCGTCGCCGTGGGGTTGGAACTAGGTGATAGTTAAGGTCCCTTCCAACCCAAACTATTCTGTGATTCTATGATTTAAGAGGTTATTACCATCTTATCAGACACAACTGGACACAACTACATTCAGTAGAATGATGTAAAAAGGATTACGGAAAGTATATTTCAGAGCGGATATCATTCAGAAGAGTGACTGAGATAGCCTGTAAGTGAAGAACCCACGCATTTTTAACACAGCTTATGAAGAGAAAAAACATCCAATAGCAACATTTACTGCACTTCAGTATGTCCACTCTAGAACTGCTTTCTATTGCAAGCTGCATTAAAATAGATTATCTTTCGATTTTTATCAGATTCAAAAAATACTGTACCTCACAGTAAAATCATAGGAGCAAGATGCCAAGAAAGTTGCGTGGAATGGTGAAAACTGTAAGAAAACAAAACAGAACAACTTTTAAAGTAAAAACATTGTAAACATATACAGACTTACTGTAAGTAGAAAGTTATTAAAGTTTAACTATTTAAACTGTCTTGGTAGGTTGCACATCATCCTGCAACAAAACAGACTACATCAACAAATTTCTCTGTTATGCTTCTAATTACAAGAAGCAAAGTTCTATTGGATCCTGGTTTGGTCTGATTTCATTACAGCAGTGCCAAACAACCCCGCTGTAAAGTTAAGTTTTAGGACAGTCAGATAAACAGTCATCAAATTCTGCTTTTGGCTGACAAGCTGTCATCTCATTATATAAACCAAGTTTCAGAAAAGCTACGTGGCCAGTTTATTGTTTTCGGAGTGCAAATCTGTGCCATACTCCAGAGAACGCAAGACATATTACTGTCATCAATGCCATGTCCTAAAATTCTGAAATTATTTACAGAAATGACGAAGATATTACAAGATAAGTTGAAAAACTGAAGGCAGTATAACGTCATTTCATAATTTCCCCCTCTTCTGCAGGGCATTTTATGGGACACGCTCTTCTACAGACTCTCGCAGACAGGTCTAAGAACTGATGCAATAAGGATGCAGTTAGGTGATAATCGCTCACCCTGGCTCCAGCTTTTTGGCAACCCTCAGTTTCCAACTATTTTAAGGTCTGTATTTCTCAACAGGAAATTCACAAGTCATTGACTTAACTTCAGTTTGAAATGCACGTCCCCCACACCATGGTTCACAGGTAAGATTCTTCCTGCAAGACTTGCAATATTATTCACAGCTACTGCAAAGTCAAATGTTAAACCTGGGCTATTGCCACAATTGCCAGAGTTGCCAAGAGAGCAGTGTATGTTGTTGCC